TTCGTACATACACACTGGTTGGTTGATTGTGGGCCCGATCAGCCGTGTGTCAGTTTTTATGTTCATAATGCAAACGCACTCCTTTGCTAGCTCTTGGACTGTCATTTCGGTTCTCTGATCTAATTGAGCAAGGAGGCGTGTACGGATGTGAGCGTCCTCAGGAAGCGCCAAGACTTTAATAAACAGGAGGGCTTTTATCTGCTGGCTAGTGGCAGTTTTTAAATCCCCTAGATGATATACATCATTCAGTTGGCCAGCTAGGTCAAAGTAGTCTTCCTCTGGCTGCTTCTCCAGCTTCAAACACTCGTAACGTCTGTGAAACAACGACTTGATAAATCCGAATAAGGACTTCAATTTCTTAACTGTGTCCGATAATGATATGTCAAATGGTTTCTCGTGTAAGACAAACGTTACGTACCGCTCGTGTTCCCTTTGACCAAGTTTGAGCAGTAAAATCTCCACCTTCTGCAAACAGTTCTGCAAACAGTTCTTTATATTTCCGGACCCAGGCCTCGAAATTCACACCGTTGTCCGCATCGCATGTGAACTCAGTTATCCGGTCCTCAATCTGCTTTCTCCTGTTGTCTGTGGAGACTGGCCCCCATTTCCTTGCATTTCCTTGATAAGTGCCATAAAGCTTTCCCGCAAGGCGTCCAGCATTTCTTTCATCTGTTCTTGACTGATCATGCTGTGTGTTCGGCTGCGTCGCCAGTTGATATGTCCCCAGGAGTAACAGGTAGAAGGAGGCAAAGGCGGTTCTGATCGCAAAAGTCATTATTCACGTCAATGCAGCGACAGTAGAATGAATCAGCGTGTCCATTACAGCCTATTATGAGGGATTGGTCCTTCTAGACTCTCCCTGGCCTATCGCACAAGAGGGGGCAATCTAGCGTGATTTCTCACGCTGCGGGACGTTCTAGAGTATTACAGAGCACGTGGGGTGGGCATCACGACTGCTCACGCCATGCGCAGCCGGTCTGCCAACATGGCTGAACTGGGGTGAACTTCAAGCTCTGGGCTCTGAGTGCGTAACCGTTCGCGTCCCCATAACAAA